AACACAAAGGGAAATGGTCCTTCCAGGATTCCATGGATAGCTGAGTTATGATTCAACAGGCGGGCAAAATGAAACCTGCCCTTCCCAGACTTTTATGAAAGAAATCCTAAAGTACATTCTTCAGCAGAAAGAAAACGCTCTGTAGTGGTCTACGGACTGGCTGGCCAACGATTCCCATTCTCCTGTGGTGGACTTTTGGGTTGTTTCTATATAGATGAAAATGGTAGTGAGTTTTATGCAGTTATATAGTTACCACATGATGGGGCACTTCAGTTACTTTGTGATAAAGCGGTTGCGAACCTTCTGGTCAAGTCTCTGGGTGCAGGTACCCATTCATTTCTCCTTTGCATATACTTAAGCGTGGGGCTGCTGGGTTTTGCAGTAGGCATATAATAAATGATAGTAGAAACTGCCAAATCGGTTTTCAATTCATACTAAACACTTTCAAGAAACTGGGAATCCCTAAACTTAGGATTAAGAAGGGAGTTCCACAAACCTATTCTATACATCATGCACGAGAAACGCCCTAGTGCCCACATCAACGTGGAAAATCTAGAAACGTAACGTTGAACAATAAAATCAACTTGACAAAGGCTGCACATAGTACCAGAGCATTCACATAAGTTTAAAAACAGAAAAAAAAAAACCCCAAACAAATGAATCTATCAACCTATGTTTTGTTATAAGTATATGGCTGGCAGCTCTGAGAGGACTCCCAGTGACCCCTGCTTCCTGCTGTCTCACCTGTGTAGTTGCCTCCCACATCATACCAAGGTTGCTCTGTGTGTGACAAACAGAGCAACAGAAGGGCAGAAGTGACAGTGTGTCACTGCTGAGGTTAGGTTGCAAAAAGATGTGGCTTCTGTCCTGGGTGCTCTGTTGCACCCTCTCTGGGATCATTTGGTGTGGGGTGACCACGTGGCCTGTCTTGAGGACATTTAGCAAGTCTTATGATGAGGTCCACTGGTGGGAAGCAGCTTCTGCAGACTGCAGATGGCTGCAGACTCAGGACAGACCCTGGGCCAGGATCACCCAGTGAAGCCCTTCCTCGATTCCCAACCCTCAGAAACTACATAAGGTGATAAAGAGCTGCTAGGTCTGGGGTAAGTTGTTATACAGCAACTGATACCGAAGACAAGGTACTTTCACTTACCTGGAAAAATTATGGGCATGTAGTAATTATCAGAAGAATTTCCACCAATGTTAGGATCAAGGGTAACTCTGGGGAGGGGCTGGGGAGCTTTAGCTATATTTGTTTTTTATTTCTATGACAAAAATAAATCTGGATGTTCCATAAATGTACACATAGTATATGATTATCTGTAATTTAAAACATTTTATTTGTTACTTAAAACATTTTATAATTAAAAACAAATATTTTTAAAAAGAAAGACAGGGTATCTATTTCATATACTATGTTGCTATACAGCACCGCCTGGCTTCTTTATTGCAGCCCTGAGGACAGTAATTATTATAATGGCTAAACAATTTGCACTGAAGAGGAGACATGTATCAGTTTATATTCTCACAGCCGGTAAAATCAAATGTTTAAGTACCAAAACCTTAAACATATTTTCAAGAAAGCAACGAAAAATGTATATAAGAGCACCTGAGAAAGAATTCACAGGAAATGCAGGAACAAACGTTGCTCTGTCTGGAGACGCTTAATATTAAACTATTTCTAGCAGCAATTCACTTAGGAAACATACAGCAATTACACTCTCTGCAGTACTAGGTAAAGTGGACGCTAGAACAGCTGTTGCCATAGCAGCGTCCACTTTAATGGTATTTAACAAGAGAACAGAAATTGTGGGTAAAATTGCTTCAGTTCTTAAATTCCCTCAGTTAAAAAGAAGTAAAATATTCACAGCTGGGCCATACAGCGATGTTTCGGGTTGTACTGTCCGACTCACTGCCACAGAGAATAGTCTCACTCATGATAACCTAAAAGAGTTAATGCACGTCCAAAAGGTAAACATTTGCTCATGACAACGCTGAGGAACATGACGTGTCTTAAGGATTCCAGGTCTGGTCACTAGTGCAAAGTGGGATAAATCTGCACTGATATTTAAGGGGATATATCTCAACCTATCATCTATGTATACTGGG